GATAAGTATCTGCATGTCTTATTTCTTCTGAAAAAAGTTAATTACACACGTCGTTATCATCCAGTCGCGAATACACGTGTACTTCTCCGAAACGAACACGTATATCCATGTTGTTTGTGACAGATGACATTCGTCTTCCTTTTATGTGCATGTAATAAAGCTGAAATAATATGGCGAATTAAATATTTCGTATGGCCCATTGTGTATCCAGGGTCGTCTCCAAGATGACCGAATAAAAAATCTTATAAAGGAATTCAAATTCCGCTTATTTTATTTCAGGGGCGCAACTAGCTCGGACATTTAGGGGGGCTACTGCCCCAGGTTATCAGAAGAAATGATTTAGTGAGTCTGGAATATCACAAGGAACTACCACAGAATAATAATTTTAATAAACGAAAGATAGCTCAATATAATCAACAAACTAAAAATAAAATGATAAATTAATAAATGATAGGCCAAGTGACGATCTAGAATTTTTCTTGTCCCATTGAAATTCGTAATCAATTCAAAATTGACCTCATTATGGAGAATGACCTTTCACACGTTGCAGAAGATACTGGCAATAGCACATATAATGATGGAAATAATTCTAAATGCTTTTAACCTGAGTTCATTTTTGAGAGTGTCATATTGTGCTTCCTGACCTTCGTTTGCTAAACTATTTTTCAGAATTGTCATTTCAGCCGAAACTTCACTCTACTACTTGACCCGTCAGGCTGATCAAATTCACAATAGCTGCGTTCGTTATTTTTTCAGAAGCATTATTAGGCAAACAGTGAAACTTGAAATAAAATTTAGGAATGATATACAAATGAAAGGTTGATAAAGAAAGAAGGATTTATCGATTTATTCTGGGGGGGATAAGAGCGAGCAAAGGGGGGCTTAGCCCCCTCCTAATTGCGCCACTGTTTTATTTATTTCTACTGTACTTATATTAGCTTCACTTTTACATAAACGAGACTTGGGAGTTTTTATAGAACAAATATCACATTCGGAAGGTGAATCATTGTTGGTAACATGAAGAGCTAATAAATTTGGGACCGACCCTGACTGCGAAGAGGCTTGTGGATGCAATGGCGATTTAATCCCCATCGACTCACTAAATGCCCCTTTCCGTGGACAAAAACAAGTTGTATAATGTCGGATTATCAATCAATGTCCGTGCCTGTGACGGCAGACGGTTTAGTTTCAGTCTGACGTGTTCGTCGTTTGTCTAGACAGGTTGAGGACCAAAATCCGAAGTGCCAGATCGTATTGCCATTAGGGCTATACAATGTCATTGGATGAGCGATTTCGTCTTATCCGAGGTCCTATCGTTACCAGATAATTCATCAGAATATCGACCACAGCAAGATAAGACGAAGAAATAGTGATTTACATATAGCAAGTCCGGAAAAAATTGTTTTTTCTGGAAGATTAAGCAAGGCTTCAGGACCCGCCGTAGGTGAGTCCTGGAAGTCTGCGAGTCCACAAAATCATATTTTCGACAAGGGACAAAGCAAGTTCATTATATTCAAATGCAGATAAATCCGACAGAAAAATTCACCACACTTTGGTGTCTCGTTTGGTGTGGAACTTTTTGAAATGTGGTAAAAAATGTCGGACATCGAGAAATGAATATAACCGAAATACACGTTACATCTGACTGTACTAATGAGTAAAGATGTGCATTTTAGAGTTCCCTGTCATGTTTTGGTTATTTTACCTTGTTATTCCGCGGTAAATATCACTGCGGGTAGTGCGGGGGTGCCTTTCACTATTCTCCAGATGAAATGGTTGTAGAGTTTATCATTACGTTACCATTACTATCAATTGACATAGATATGCATTCAGAAGCGTTAAATTACTGGCGAATTAACGTTCATAAATTGGTATGATGAAAATACCACGCTCTCAGCACTCAGTAGATTTGAATGTGAATCGCACCACATAATTAGGTACCAATTCTTCGGTGTGGAAATTATCCACCTGAATTTACTTCGTATCATTGTATAAGTTACATAATTCCATGATATTTAGCATAGTTGAGGGATGGTTGGAGAGTACGTAGAATATTCCAATAGTAAATTCTCTTACAGTTCCTACTTATTTTAATTGTTGTAGATTATGTCTTTATTGAAAATTATTTGATAGATCCCATGACTATTATCAGGTGTCGAATGACCTTCATTAGTTCGCAACACTCGTGATTTCAAAGAGATAGATACTCTTATGAGAAACTGTACTACTGTTTTAAACGTTCGAAGATTGAATATGCATCGGTAGTTTGGAGCCCATACTATCAAAAAAATACTGATCGTCTTAACAGTCTGTATGACGGTTTTCTGGTTCGGGTCAGGAGCTATTTCACTTTCAGTCAGCTGCTTATGATCTATAAGGCACAGATCCGACCTGTCCTGGAATACTGTTTCCATATTTGGAGTGCAGCACTCAAACATACCCTAAAACTGTTGGATTCTGTCCAAAAAAGGGCAATTCGTCTCGTGGGTGATGCCTCGCTCACAAACTAACTTACTTCACACCGTAGAAAAGTTGGAGATCTGACTCTATTTTATAGATATTTTCATGGATAATTCTTTTATGAAATATCAACAATTGTTCCTCCCTTGGCAGTCCCCGCGAGATTAACCCGTTGAGTTGAGGCTTCGCACCCCTTCGTGGTCACTTTGGAGACCTGCCGAACATCTCTTTACAAAGACTCGTTCATCCAACGAACAGCGAGGCTCTGGAACCTCCAGAAATTTAAAAAGAACACCAATTCCTACCTTATTTCCCTCGCTTCTCACGATGTTCTCTGAACATTACAGGATATCCCTTTTCGTGGGAACCAGAACATAAAAAAACATTTAAAAAACATTATAGGGATTCCCTTTGCATTCATGACTACTACTGATAATGCATGTAACCAATGAAATATCACATTTCATTGAACAAGCTACGCAGTGGCCAATCTGAAATGATCCAGGCTTCTTCAGTTGTACAATTTCGCCACAGCAAAAAATATGAAAGTATGCCAATATCGATCGTTTCTCGCAAATGACTAATTGAAATTCTATGCATTAAATGCGAATGTGTGCATTAAACGTAATTTACGATTACATTAGAGTCACCGGTTGGGAAAAATTCCTCCAGAAGCGATGAGTTATGTCTCGTTTTTTGTCGGCTCTGTGACAAGGAGGACAAACCAGTCGAGCTGCATCTTTATTCCTTGTAAATACCATACGAAGAATCGATAATCGACCGTTAAAAACGGACGTAACGCATTACGAGATGACGATAAAAATTGTGATCGACGCCAATGTGCAGTTTCAGCTTCGCCATGTTGCGGTTTTGCTTGATAATAAATGTACAATCAATCTAATGGAATAGCGTCTGTCCATCTTGGTCTCGCTGTTTCTCGAGGCTTCTTTCACATGGTCTGTCTACGCCTTCTATTATTTCCTTATGCTCATTACAAGGAACCCTCAGATCTCTTGATATATTACGCAAGAAATCGAACCCCGAAACTCATTGAACTAAGGGAAGTTGATGAAAATAATACTTCAAATGATGTCGATGCGCCTACGTTTCAAGATGCGAATGGTTCTTCTAATTCGAAAATCGAAGTATAAATAAGGAAGATATTTGGAAAATCATAATCCAATGCAGGTACCTACTACGAAGGACCGCGATTCGCCGCTTTCATACCCTGATTCTCCCCGCAATGACCGCGGCTATCATGGTTCCATACGCTTCATCAGATTTCAAAAATTTATATAATTTGTTCTACTTGTCACACGAAAGTACTGATACCCATCAATATTTTCCACGAATAAAAAAATCCATATTTCTTTATAAATTACCTCCTACCAAGAAAATGCAAGGAAATCCAAGGAAATCCAAAGAATACCAAGGGAATCCGAGGAATTCCAAGGGAATCCGAGGAATTCCATGGGAATCCAAGGTATTACAAGCAATTTTAAGGAAATCCGAGGAATCTTAGGAATTTCAGTTGTTTGTATACACTTCATTCCAGGGAATTCCAAGGAAATCCAAGGGAATGCAAGAAAATCTGAGGAAATCCAAGGAAATTCAAGAAATTCTAAGCGAATCCAAGGCAATCCAATAAAATCCAAGGAATTTCAAGAAAGTCCAAAGAAATCCAAGGAAATCTAAGGAAATTCAAGAAATTCCACGGAATTCCAAGAAAATCCGAGGAAATTCAAGGGAATCCAAGGAAATCCAAGAAATTTCAAGAAAATCCAAGGAATTCTAAGCGAATCCAAGGAAATCCAAGGAAACCCAAGGAAATCCAAAGAAATCTTGGGATATCCAAGTTATTCCAAGAAAATTCGAGGAATTTCAAGGAAATCCAAGGGAATGCAAGAAAATCTGAGGAAATCCAAGGAAATCCAAGGAAATCCAAGGAATTCTAAGCGAATCCAAGGCAATCCAATGAAATCCAAGGAATTTCAAGAAAATCCAAAGAAATCCAAGGAAATCTGAGGAAATTCAAGAAATTCCACGGAATTCCAAGGAAATCCAAGGAAATTCAAGGGAATCCAAGGAAATCCAAGAAATTCCAAGGAAATCCAAGGAATTCTAAGCGAATCCAAGGAAATCCAAGGAAACCCAAGGAAATCCAAAGAAATCTTGGGATATCCAAGTTATTCCAAGAAAATTCGAGGAATTTCAAGGAAATCCAAGGAAATCCAAGGCAATCCAAGAAAATCCAAGGAATTTCCAAGGAAATCCAAGGAATTTCAAGGGAATCCAAGGAAATCCAAGAAATTCCAAGGAAATCCAAGCAATTCTAAGCGAATCCAAGGAAATCCAAGGAAACCCAAGGAAATCCAAAGAAATCTTGGGATATCCAAGTTATTCCAAGAAAATTCGAGGAATTTCAAGGAAATCCAAGGGAATCCAAGGCAATCCAAGGAAATCCAAGGTATTCCAAGGAAATCCAAGAAATTCCAGAGAATTCGAGTTGTTGAGTAGAAGACCATCGTGTCGTGTCTTACCTCTGGGCCCTCCCTGGGCATCGGCGGCGGGCCCCAGATAGGCCGCCTCCTCCGAGCTGGCGTACCCCGCCGAGCCGAACGAGCTGCCCGAGTGACGGAACTCGTGCGGCACGGCGGGCGGCAACACCTTCTTGGCGGTCGCCGCCGGCTTCGGGGGCCGCGACATGCCGCCCACTGAAACAGAGAGAAACGAGAAATCAATCGAGAGGCAATGTTTAGTTGAACTACAAACACTATACAGTGAGGACGTAAAAAGTCCTCCCCCCCTCCTTATCTTTTGAACGGAAGAAGCTATCGAGGTCGGGTAAAATTCAGGTAAAAAGGTACTACTTTTACTACTTTTTGGCATAAAAATGATTGTGGTCACGTGGCCTAGTGTCAAGAGGGTACCTTCAACTTTTTTTTTTCAAATGTAAAAGGGGGTCACGTGGCACCTGGTTATGAAGGCCTTCCGATTCTCTATCCACCACCGCTGTGTTTGTGAAAATGGACCAAGCCGTTTCAAACTGACAAGTGTTTGAAATTTGCTTCAAAAATTTTACAAATAAATTAAAAACCTAAATAACTTTTAATTGCAAAAAAATTTTAATCAACAATTTCAACTATTTTAACAAGTGCTCGAAATGTTCACCGTTCACTCCTTGACAGAAAAAAAGTCGGTTTTGGAATTCATTCCGAACTTTATTGAATGTTTCCGGGGTAATACTGTAACACACATCTGTTATTCGGTCCATACGTTCCTGGAGTGACTGTGGCTGCGTGACGTACACCTTAGATTTTATGTACCCCCACAGAAAAAAGTCCATAGGTGTCATATCAGGTGACCTAGCTGGCCATTCAATGGGGCCACGTCGGCCTATATCCATCGTCCTGGAAAATGCTCGTTAAGCCATTCTCGGACAGGTCTGTAGTAGTGAGGGGGTGCACCATCTTGTTGAAAGGTAATATCCATGGTAAACTCATTTGGGTTTGCCCGAACTACTTCTTGAATACTGTGATGGATCTGATTTTGAAGCATATTTAAATACAGATGCCCAGTTAAATTTTCTGCCATAAATATTGGACCTATGATATGGTCACCCAAAATACCAGCCCATACGTTGATCTTCTCTGGAGTTTGAGTATGACCCTCTCGAAAAACGTACGGATTCACGTCTGACCAATAACGCACATTCTGTCTATTTACCGTTCCATTTAGAAAAAACGTACTTTCATCACTAAAACAAATAGAGTTAATGTAACCAGGATTGCGGTCAGACATGACCTCACAAAACTGCAGCCTTCTATCCGGGTCGTCTTCTGTTAATTGATGCAGTACTTTCAATTTATATGGGTGAAATTGTGTTTTTTAAGATATTTTTTCACAGTGGTCGGAGATACGCCACAATCCATGGCTACCGTTTTCGTTATGTTGTTGTTGCGGATTATTAACAACAGCTGCCAGAACGTCGATTTGATGTTCTTCTGAAATAGATTTTCTTCCAGATCCTTTTTCCCTCGTTACGCAACCAGTCCTTTGAAATTTACTGACCAATTCTCTTAAGTATGTACGAGATATTGGATTATTTGGGAAGCGCTCATTGTATATTCTTTCTGCTTCATGGTAATTTCGCCTAACTTCAGCGTAAATTAAAATAAGCTTCGGTTTTTTCTTCTAAAGGACGAGGACGAGGCATTTGAAAATTATAAAAACAAACTTAAACCTATGAGAACTGTCAAAAGTATCGATATGATTAACGTCAATATTAGACTGGCATTGAAATGAAATGATATTTGGAGTCTCCAGCAAAATAAATAAGGTAAAAAAAACTGGAACATAAACCACATTTCAAAATACCAATAATATGCGCACCTGTCTTACCACAAAAAATTGACTCTTCGACCATAATTAGTGACGGAGTTGAAATTCTGCTGCAATTAATAGTTGAAATAATTTCTTTGTGAAATTTTTGAAGCAAATTTCAATAGCTTGTCAGTTTGAAACGGCTTGATCGATTTTCACAAACACAGCGGTGGTGGATAGAGAATCGGAAGGCCTTCAAAACCAGGTGCCACGTGACCCCCTTTTACATTTGAAAAAAAAAAGTTGATGGTACCCTCTTGACACTAGGCCACGTGACCACAATCATTTTTGTGCCAAAAAGTAGTGAAAGTAGTACCTTTTTACCTGAATTTTACCCGACCTCGATAGCTTTTTTCCGTTCAAAAGTTAAGGGGGGGGGAGGACTTTTTACGTTCTCACTGTATAGTTATATAAATACAAAAAGCTCAACATTGTGTTGCTGAACATTGTGTGGATATGACTTTGAGCTTTTTGTATTTATTCAACATTTCATTCCACTTCGAGCATTGTGGCTATTTAGTAGTTGAAATTACGCCAGTCGGGCAACCAGCCACTCCCGTTTGGGAATTTCAGTTTTGGAGTGATTATTTCCTCTGTTCTACTCAGATGGCGTTACTTTCATATTGTCGATGAAAGACGCCTCGGGGGAAATAAAATGCCGACTTGATTTTTGTTTGGTTTGGCTTCGCAGTCCTACGACCGCCGGCTGTAGACTACACTGCACTGATGAGAGTCAAAGAGCTCGGAACCGGTCTGTGGTTGTCTAGCGTGGCCTGGCTAAATCGAAATCAATAGGCATTCAGGAAAGAATCACTTGTATCAGTATTCGTTTATACGAGTCGATGCAAAGATTTCGGGTACATTGTTCTTCATTTTATTAACATCGTGTGGAAATCACTTTGAGCATTGTGGCTATTTCGTAGTTGACTACATAGATTTTTTTCTGTGCGAAGAGAAACAAGTTCGAAATTTCATGTTGACAGGATATGAAATGTCACTTTTCGCAATGTTGCGGGAAAATGACTTCCAAACTAAATTGCGTGCGGGTATAGGGTGAATCACGCACGCTTGTAGAAAAAATATTTTTCGCGTGTCTGTCCTACGCTTTCTTAGACACCATCCAACATTCTTCGACAGAATGAAATCGGGTCGAACAGATTCTAGTTTACGGTGCAATTCTCCACCGGGACGTGTTAAACGGCGAAATAGCGTAGGAGGGTGATAAAACTTCTACCTGTCGCCAGGTTTGGTCTCCTCACAAAGTGGCCGAACGAGCCAAAAAAGAAAAACTTCTATCTATACCTGCACACACAATTCTCCTTCTTGGCCATGCGTTTCAAAAACCGGACCAATAAATTATTGTCCCGTGAAGGTGGAGAATTTTATTATGCCTCAACAAGCGAAAGGCCTAGATAAGGACTATTAGAGCAAAATTTAAACAACACTACCATCAGCTGATCAGCACAAGAATAATTCTACAGGATGGAGTTCAAATAATTTAGAGCTGAAAATAAATTTGAATAAATTGAGAATTACTAGTCTATATAGATCTTCATAAATGCAATATCCTGTCTCCCAAACAGTTTGGATTTAGGGAAAAAACATCGACAGAAGATGCAGCGAAGCGAAGGCTTTCGACACGGTAAATCATAGCCTTCTTTTGTGATCTCTGATGGAAGATATTGGCATGCGAGGTGAAAGTTTGAATCTACTTAAAAGTTATCTGTCTAATAGAGTTCAGAGGGTTTGAATTGATGATGTACCTAGTGATCAAGAGATTATCGAATATGGTGTACCACAAGGAAGTGTCCTAGGACCATTACTATTCAACATATACATAAACAGCCTGTTCTCATTACAGAGTAGTGAACATATAATTGGATCGCTGATGATACTATAATTGTATATGAAGCTGAAGACTGGGACATACTGAAAGATAAAGCTTTTGCTTGATAAAGAGCTGGCTCGAGCATAAGCTCTTAACAGTCAATCTGGAAAAAAACAAATTACCTACCCATCAAATGTAAAAACTTCACAAACGATAAGATTTCCACAAAATTCTCAAACACACGGCATGTTTCGCTAACGCAGTAGCTTCGTCAGGTGATATACTGGTACCAGTTTGGAATTCATTATTTCAAATTCAAGATTATTGATGTGAAAGAAAAATAATATGGGCCCTAATATGGACCCCTGAGGCATCCCTACCCGGACCTGCCCTATTTCAGAGGAGAATGTTGAAATATGTTAAGTTACTTCAAATTTAAGAGAAACACACTGACTACGATTATTTAGGAAGGAAGAAACCCAGAAACTATAGTCTCACAGGGCATGCATGACGCATCGACCTATATAAGACTGAAACCATTGAAGTTGTTACTGGAATCAAGGTCAAATATCTCATGTTCACCTTTCTGAGGCATGTCACATTGTTTCACAATAAACCCTTCAATGGGGAAGACCACTGAGGGAAGAAATCCGTGCAAACCTCTTTCAATCGACGCATCATGATTTACGTTTTATGTACAATCAATATTATGAGTTGAAGTTGAAGGGAATCGAATCTATATCGTTTTGAAATCAGCATATTTCATTCGATATTCCAAAAAACCAAATATGATGGTGGAGCCGTGACGTATTAGTTCCGAGCTGTAGCTATCTCTCTCTGATACCTTGCCATTCTGCGGTGTTGCAGTGTGATTGGTCAGTTCAAGGACAATAGGCGTGTTGGGACTAAGACGTCGCACCAGTCACACCAATGAATTGATGAAATTTCAAATGGCGCAGGAATTGTGTGTTTTGAAATGGACATATACTAATTTATTTTTTTCATCGTCTCAGCATGAATGAAAAAATTCAGAATTAATTCACTGGTAGTTTTTCAGTATAGAGTTCACGATAATGTCGTTTTAAAAAATCAGTGGTCTTCCCCATTATTATACTCGCTATATACTTGGCATTATCCTGTTTGTTCTCTAAACCCTCGTCGTCGATGGCAAATCTCGCAGCCTCAATGACCAGATTGGACAAATCGACGAATGTAACATGTCCGCGGCACAATAAAAATGTCCCGCGGCGAAAAAACTGCCTCACGGAACGGAATCCCACACGGGTCGTGCGTAGGTAGGCCCTCTCCGCGATATAGGTACACACCGTAAAAATCCCCATTCTAACAGGTTATAATTGACTAATGTATTCACTCTCGATGTTCGATTGCGATAAATCGAACGATTTCGAAGGCGATTCGAAACGGTTTGGCGCCGTCGCTTCGAGAACAGGTGGGCGGATAACAGCATTTCGGCGAGATATTTCTGCAGAGCCGTTCTCTACT